GGAGCCGATAACGTGATTTTCAAAAGATCGGAATCGGGAGAAAAAAAAATCGGGGATCGGGATTTTTTTTTTTAAATACTTTTGATTTTTTGTATTCAATGTTACAAAACAAAAATGACCATGTTCAAGTCTTAAAGTCATCCTGAGGCCTTAGTTTTGGTTTCAAATTACAGAACATCATGTATGTGTTGCTTCTTTGGGGCTTGTTTTCATAGACCTGGTTGCTTATTTCTCTCAAATCTGGCAACAGAGTGGGCAGGGCGCAGTGTCTAATTGTAGCAGTAAGCTAACGAGTACTGAAAGCTTTATTTTGTTTTGATCCAATGCTGCAAAACTGAACTGATCCAATGCTGCTGTGAAAAAAAGAAGCTATATCCATATATAAATAATATCCAATTTAAATAAAAAAATAACCTTAAGGGACAACTTGAATGCTTTTTTTCTTTTTTTTCTCTTAATGCATTGCATAAAGATTGGATCGGGAAAAATCGGTATCGGCAAATTGTCAAAATCAAATGATCGGAATCGGATCGGGAGCAAAAAAGGTGATCGGGACATCCCTAAATCGAATCGCAATATATGTCAGAAAAATCGCAATTAGATTATTTCCCTAAATCGTGCAGCCCTAGTTTGCATTGAAAATGACACTACAAATGTATTGATTACCAAATGTTTGTCTGTCGTCTTGTATATTTGTTAAATAATCTTTTCAGATATATATTGACTCCCAGAAAACCCCTTAAACTCTAAGCTCTATAAATGGTGCCATAATCTTCACTCTGGCACCATCATCTATTAAAATAAAGACTTATTAAGGGAATAAATGTCTGATATATTAAGTTCAACCAGACAATGTGGGTTACATTCAAGTAAGTAGGTACAACTTTATTTATATAGCACCCTTCTCAACACGAATGTGCTCCATAGCCTTGAAGAAACACATAACTTTCCGATGCTACAGTGAGCTGCAGATGCTTAGTTTAGCACATCAGGAAACATTTTGTGTGCATCTTTTAAAAAGCACCTTTAGGGCATAGCTTGCTGACATTCTAATATGTGTGCACATTTATAAAATGCTGAGATGATTCACAGTTGAACAGACATTCATTTTTCTAGTTCACTGCAGATGAAACATTTTGGATGCAAAATTCAAACAAATGTTCTTGTTCTAAAAGATGTCTGACTTCATTTAGATTCAACAGCTTCTTAAGGGGAAATGTCAGTGTTAGGTTTACAACTATCTCCTCATCCACATGAGAGCAAGAATACTTAAACACATCAGACAAACAAAGCAGCAGTGTGTACGCTAACCTATGACCCTTCATGAAGTCGGTTGCTTACCTCAGTACTCAGTCAATAAGTCTTTGGATAGCATATCACTTAACTGTCCACATCATTGTAATAAGTCAATAATTGAGGAACTTATTGTACTGTATATGACCCAGATCTGATTATAAACAGACTGGGCTCTGGTTTCAGACACAGGGTGAAACGAGGTGCTGCACAGGAGAAAAATAGAGAATAAAGTGTCTTTCTCTTTGTGTTTATAGGTGTGTGGGTACATCCTTAATTTCTCTCATTTGTGCATCTGTCGCCTGGTTGTTTAGTGTATTTTCCTTCTTGTAGGTAGCACTTGTATATGTTTCCTTGTGGTTCATTGCATTTACTGTATGTCCCCTTGGATGACAACGGCTGAAATGTAATGTATGTTTTCTTTATTGGAAGACAAGAGGCACACCCATGAGCTTCATACTAGGATCTTTAAGTAAACAATAACAGGAGCTGCTCTCTTGCTCTGCTCCAGCTGAGAGTCTGATGATGTGGCCACCATATGAGATAACACACACTCACTCACCTCCTACTTCTTCCACCCCCTCCAGCAGCATGTCTTTAGTGAAGTTGGATATCTGCCCGGTGAACGAGGACAGGCTTCCTCCGACATTTCCCAGAGACTGCCCGAGGCCGGAGCCGATTCCCCCGAGCCACGATGACATGTTGACGGATACAAAACAAACCAAAACAAAGCCGGGCCGAGGAGGACTAGCAGGGGAGGGGGCTAGCTTAGCTCAAACTCCAGAGGTGATGCAGCCAATATAGTCATTAAGCTGAAATATAAACTCCACCTCAGGTTGTTATTAACTTCAAAATCCACTTTAATCTTAAAACGAAGTCGCTTTTCAGGCTGACAGAAGCTCCTTTAGCAACAGCTGATCTGGAGGAATTTGCTAAGCTAAGCTAAGCTAATCTAAGCGACGTTATATGCCATTTAAACAGCTAATATGTTACTTTACAGATTTACGTTTAGTACTGTCGTCTACGCTGAGTGTTAGCGGTGTTTTCAGAAGGTTTTAGAAGGTCTGACAACAATGCAAGGGGCAGAAAGTGCCACCTCAACTGCAGCCATATTTATCCGATCGGCTGCTGCTGTCAGGTTTGACGTGGACACAGGACACGGCCGCAGTGCATTGTGGGATTCTGGAGGACCAACAAATACTTCTTCTTCTTCGGTTTTTAAGGCGGTTGGCGCCTCCTGCTGGATTGACCAACAAATAAAAAGGTGCGTTCAAGAAGTCACGTAAAGCTAACATGTATTCAAAAACAACACACGTTGACCTAAGTCAAAGATATTTAAAAGGGATAAATAGTTAGTTAAATAAATATACACACACATTCAAAAACGCTGTGCACTACAGTCGCAGTGAATAATTACAAATATACATATTTATTTACGATTACAAATTGTATATTCATCTAAATAGTGTTTTATCCCAAAAGACAACACTTGCTTATTTTGCAGAACACATATTGTATATTTCCTCCATGCAATATGATACACTCGTCTTGAATTATCCTTTTTATTTTGGCTGGATTTAGTTTCATTATTAACTACATATATATTTAAAGCTGGAGTCCTGAAAGTTTCGCAGAGTTTCATAGCATTTCTAATTTGGGTTTAAGACATGTATTCTCTCTAAGACTCCCTTATATTTTCAGCAAGAAAACAAATGAATTTCCCAGATGTATAAAACATCCAACATCCAATTACAAAAAACGACTGTTACATTAAATTGGAATACAAATTAACAGAGGGGAATTTATAGGCATTATTCCAATACAGAAACATACAAAGGTGTAAAAAATAAAAGCCTTTCTCTTTTCCTCCGTACCCAAATCTCTAAAAACGGGGCTACAACGGAGCTGATCCAGATTTGCGTCCGATATGACGTAATATCTGAAATTTAGGCGGGCTTTACACCCACGGCCCTATCAGAAACGTGCTATCAGAAACAATGCCCGACTGTTTTGGACGTAATATGGTCGGTGTTTACATTAGCATCGCTAACATTCAGAGCTAACCTGTACTGGAGATTATGTGTGTGAAGAAGCAGGAAATAAAAAGGAACTCACCTTGTGGTATAACCAGCAAGAGAGAAAGCCTTTGAGCTCCATACTGTATTTTGAGCAAAACACTTCATAGACATGTTTTTTATATATTTGTATATATCTGAGACCTATGCTATTGCCTACAAATAGCATGATAGGTGACCTTTATTAAGTGATGTTGTAAAAAAGTGCCAGTCTGAGTCGTTTCTTCTAACTTGTTTATTAAAAGTTTTTTTTACATAGTGTTAAATACAATCTCTCAAGAGGCCAGAGGTCTGAAAGCAGATGAGCAGAAAAACAGATGGGAAATCACTTTTTTGATTTAATATCCTTTCAGAAGACCATCCACATAACACATAATCCCTCTGTAATTAATTATTTTAAAACTCAATGTCAGCTATCGATCTTCACTTGTAAAAAATAAAGAATACATCGGAGGAAATGTCTTTTAATTCATAGCATTTCTGTGCAAAACAGGGAGAGGCAGGACCCAGAGCCCAAAATCCAGCAGCTTATACCATCCTCACAGCGAAGGGAGAATAACCAACTCTTAAAATCCTTTTATCTTCCATCAGGGTGGCTGGGGTGCATCTCTGGAGTGTACGTCAGGAGCACCACCATCACCCAGAGGTGCAGCAGCGCCTGGAAGAAGAAGGGAAAATGCTGTCAAAGGGTTCATAACGATGGAAAAATGTTGTGGGCCTTACCAAATGCATTTAGTTTTAAAACATTGAGATGAGATAAGTGATCCAAAATTTGGAAATGTGTTCGTTATAGCAGCATGTCAACAAGGCATCGTAGAAAATAACAAATATAGGAAAAAAATTTAAATAAAAAGAAACCTGAACCAGATTAATTTGACTAAAGTTATTCATCGGATTAAATAAGTATTTTATTTAATTAAATACACTTTCTTTTATTCATTAATAGGGACAGGGCACTAATGAACATCAGTATACATTAGATTACATGATGTAAAAATGCTTGAGTTAGCAAAAATGCCATAGACAGGAAAATAATCATCACATGTCACAATACTTAAGTAGAAATATATAATACACAAGACAAAATAAATTGTTCCACATGTGAAGTTATACGTGATCACAGTCCTGGTTTGAGTTTACTGGTATAGCCCAAAATATAGCATGTCATACTCACTATGTAGAGGATAACGAAAACTCTGGCCATTGGGTAACGCCTCAAGAAGATACCCAGTCTGATGCTGGAACAACAACATGTGTTCATTAATATCTGGGGATCATAACTCACATTTTAACTATGTCATTAAATATAATTAGAGTGAAGAGTTACCTGAACCGGTCGATGGAGCTCGCTGCTTTCCGTACTTTTCCGTAAACTCCGGGACTCTCCTGATCACTGAAGAGAACCGGGGCGTTTCTCTGACGAGCTGCTGAGATACAACACATGGGAAGAAAGTTACCGGCAACGTAACAATAAAACATGATGAATAATTAAACATAGTTTAAGGCAGGGGTGTCAAACTCAAGGCCCGGGGGCCAAATCCGGCCCGCGACTTCATTTTCTGCGGCCCCACAAGCGCTTTGAAAGAATATAATGAGTTTAATTATACATGCCGATTTACAGAAGCACGTTGCCCATAAACTACATGTCCCACAATGCATCTCAAATATGGATTTTGCTCAAAATTTCACTTTTGTTTTTCCATTTTCACTTTTTTTCCAGAATCTGGCTTTTTCAAAAATAAATAAAAATCTTTGTGACATTCTCACTGAAGAGACTTCCAATTATTTGCCCTAGTCTTCTGCTTTCAGGCGTAGTTAATTATGAAGTTATCACCCTATCTGATAATAATCCAATGCAGAGTCAATAATGTAATATAATACATTATTTTATATATATTAAATATTTATTTTTATATAGTCTTGAAGTTACAACCGGCCCTTTGAGTGCAACCATAATGCTGATGTGGCCCGCGATGAAATTGAGTTTGACACGGCTGGTTTAAGGTAATAGGGAAATGAAAAGTGAATCCTAAAAGAGAAATAAATGCAAGAATTTGTAAGAAATAAAGAAAAACACAAGAGGAAACTGTACCAACAGGGTGAATCAGATGTTGTTGTTCAGGAAAGTAAAAGACTTCAACACTGAATTGCGTAATTTTCTTTTCTTTCTTTTACTGTTCTTATATTATTACAGTTTAATGTCACAGGACTCGTTCATAAAATATATAAAAACGGGCACAGTGTGGGGAAATTAAATTATAATTACAATATAAATCTGATTCATGCCCATTACTCCCAATTTAGACATTTATAATAAATCCAGATTATTTATAGATATATTCATAAAACTCCCATAGATTCCAACATTTTCCTTTATTTCTGCAGAAATAAATCAATAAATTGTTAATTTATTCCTCAAATATTCTATAAATGTTTAAAGGAAATCAAATACAGGTAAAGTGAAAGGCTTTTAACTTGATTATTTATTTATTATTGTGATGCTATGAACTATTTATAGTGTAAATTGGAATTAACCACATCTGTGCTCCCGGGTGTATCTGTGTGTTTTTCTTCTTGTATGTTCCTGCCTGTGTACATGACATAAGCTGCTGCTCATAACCAATTTCCCCTTGCGAGATTAATAAAGTTGTTGATTGATTGATTGATTGATTGATTGAGGTATACAAGTATTGAAAATGTAAAGTATTTTGCATTTTAAATATGAAACACTTGAAAGCGGAATTATGTCGCCATGTCATCATCTCCTTCTCCCCATACATCGAAAATAAAAGGCACAATTATCTAAAGAATATATGTAATACTTTCTTATCCAACAAAAATCGTACCTGGATTTTATTCTAATTATATAATTAATGTTTAGTGTTACAACAATTGTCCATAAAATATATACAAATATATAAAAACAGGCACAGGGTGAGGAAATGAAATTATAATTATTGATTAAATCTTTCTGATTCGTGCCGGTTGCTCCCAATTTAGACATTTATATAAATAAATCCAGATTATTTTTATATAAACTAAGCACAAAAAGTAAAGAAATGTGTGGAGGCGTGTGGTGCAGTGGGTTGTGCGTTGGTGTTGGGATCAGGGGGTCACAGGTTCAAACCCCACTGCAGTCAGCATGTCGTTGTGTCCCTGAGACACTTCACCCCAAATTGCTCCTGTGGGGATTGTGTATTGAGTATGTAAGTTGCTTTGGATGAAAGCATCTAACAAGTGACATGTAATGTGTTGTTGATGACTTCTTTGTTGTAGCAATGCTTCTTGGCATTAA